AGAAGAAAACCCTTTTGTTTGTATACAGGATCTAGCACCTCCAATTTTATGATATCTGATGAAGAAAAGGGAAAATTCGAGGAAAAAACAAATATAAATAACTAGATAAATGATTAATCCAGGCATTTGTATAACTGCTTTTCATACATTTCAAGCACCTTCAAACATCAACAACACTCCAAAGAAACAGGGATATTCAGCTCAACCACAAACTAGTATCAACCTTTGTGATATTCATCTACAAGCCTTCCTGGGTCTGATAGACCTGTGTTTGAAGTTAACAAAAAAAAAAGACCATAGGGGGCCCTATGGAGAGGAGCAACAGTACTATAAAATCATTGCGGCAGTACACAAGGCACTGTCAAAAATTAACAAGTTATATTAGCTAAAGCAAATATAAAATAAATGGTATAATAAAACCATCTGCAATGTATGTGGTACGTGAAGTTGAAATTAAACTCACTATCTAAATCTTACACTTTTACCAGGATGAACATTTCATTAGTTGTTTTTTTTTTTTTTTAATCATGATGAAGGGAGTGTGTTAACAGTAATCAGCAAGTAATCTTTTGTATCTGTGTCTTTACCTCTAATTGCATTAATGATCGTTTTGCATAAAATGAGAATGCTGGCCACCGGATTCATTGAGGTTGGAGCAAAGATGCTCTGCTACAATTACTCTCCAAAGGCATTTGTGCAGAAATAAGAATATTAAATGAACAAAAGACAAATTACCCTCGATCTAAACTACGTGGAATCTGCTAAGTAATATTTAATAGGCACCAATTTAATTAGCAACCTATTCTACAAAAGAAAATAGCAATCTACTTGTTCCTTTGTAGGTGGTAATAGTATTTTTCTTTTTTCCTTTTTGCAGTATAACAGCTCTAAGAAACTAATCGGAAACATTTTAGATATGAATTTCATGTAACTGTTTCTTAGTGTGTGAGCTGGGTGTTGTGTTGTATTTTTTAAAAGTACTGAGATTATAATAAACCCTTGGTACCCGGAGATCAAATGAAGCAAGTGGTAGCTCATTAAAATGTAGCTGATGGCCACACATGACCAAGCTGAGATGATCTAATGAAAAGTATCCCAGTAGACAACCCATCCCTGATAGGACCTTTATACAGAGCTTGGCAAACAAACACACCCCTTCCAAGAGCAGGTTCAGAACAACTAAGCGATGAGGGATATAGCTTCCAACATTGGATTGTATGGAAATAGGCAGGGGTGGACTGAGAGCCTTTGGGGCCCCCGGGCAAAATTAGATCCCAGGCCCTTTGAAGGCCAAATATATGTGCATTAAATAAATGTTAAATATAACTCATAATACAGCATTCCTTTGGATGTGTATATTGTGAAGACCTGTGTATCAATGCATGTTTGTATTTGAGTCTGTGTGAATGCACTTGTGCATGTCTGGATGACTACATGTGCTTTTTTTGTATATAGTGTCTGTGTGAATGCATATGTGACAGGTGACAGTGTGTGTGAGGGAGAAGGTGACAGGTGGAAGAGTGTGGGAGGTTGTGACAGGTGGAAGAGTGAGGGGTACCTGGTGGCAGAGTGAGGGAGGGAGGGGTTGGAGTGGTGGCAGAGTGAGGGGGAGACACAGTGAGTGGGGGGTGGACTAGTGACATAGGAGGGAGAGGGGTGACTAGTGACAGAGTTAGGGAATGGGGTGACTAGTGGCAGAGGAGGGAGTGGAAAAGATGACTAGTGGCAGAGTGAGGGAGGGAAGGTGACTGGTGACAGAGTGAGGGATGACTGGTGACAGAGGAGGGAGTGACTAGTAACAGAGGGAGGAGTGACTAGTGACAGAGGGAGTTGTCACTATCACCCTATCTCTGTCACTAGCTTCACTTGTCACCAGTCATCTTATTTGCCACTAGTCACCCTCCTTTCCTCATTTCAATTAATGGCCTTTTTCCTTTCACGTATCACCTGTCACCTCATCTCTGTCATAGTCACCCCCTCACCTAGTGACAGAGAGAGGGAGGTGTGACTAGTGACAGTGAGTATGGTGATTCAGTGACAGAGAGAGGGAGGGTGTGACTAGTGACAGAGTGAGGGAGGGAAGGGGTGACTAGTGAGAGTGAGGGAGGTGGTGATTAGTGACAGAGGGAGGAATGGGGTGACTATCACTGTCACCCCCTTCCTCACTCTGTCACTAGTCACCCCCTCTCTCACTCTGTCACCAGTCATTCCCTCACTCTGTCACCAGTCACCCCTTCCTTCCTTCACAGTGACAGAGTGAGGGGATGACTGGTGACAGAGTGAGGGAAGGGATGAATAGTGGCAGAGTGAGGGAAGGAAGAGATGACTGGTGACAGAGTGAGGGAATGACTGGTGACAGAGTGAGAGAGGGGGTGAATAGTGACCGAGTGAGGGAGGGAGAGGGTGACTAGTGACAGAGTGAGGAAGGGGGTGACACAGTGATAGTCACCCCATTCCTCCCTCTGTCAGTAATCACCACCTCCCTCACTCTCACTAGTCACCCCTTCCCTCCCTCACTCTGTCACTAGTCACACCCTCCCTCTCTCTGTCACTAGTCACACCCTCCCTCTCTCTGTCACTAGGGTGAGGGGGTGACTAGTGATAGAGTGAGGGGGTGACAGGTGATAGAGTGATGGGGTGACTAGTGACAGTTACCACCTCCTTCACTCTGTCACTAGTCACCCCCTCCATCACTCTGTCATTGTGTCACCCCCTTCCTCACTCTGTCACTAGTCACCCACTCCCTCCCTCACTCTGTCACTAGTCACTCACTCTGTCACTAGTCATCCCCTTCCTTACTGTCACTAGTGACCCACTCCCTCTGTCACTAGTGACCCACTCCCTCTGTCACTAGT